TTATGGTGGTGGGGGTGGTTATGGGGGTGGAGGTGGTTATGGTGGTGGGTATGGAGGGGGTGGTGCAGGCTATGGAAGAGAAGAGCTCGGAGCAAAATTGTCTAGAGTAGACTGGCAGAGAGTTGAGCTTGTTCCTTTTGAGAAAAACTTTTATGTAGAACACCCGGAGATTGCACAAATGCCTCCTGAAGAAGCAGATAGAATTCGTACTGATCATGAAATCACCATCATTGCAGGTAAACACAATTCACCAATAAACATACATACATGCATGCATGCATGCATGCATGCACCCGTGTATGGATGCATGCATGCATGCGTGTGAGCATACATGCGTTCATTATTTATACCAACCAACGTGCATGCAAGCATGCATGCGCAGGTGCATGGATGCATGCATGCATTATTTATTATCTACGCATGCATACATGCATGCATGCATACGTTATTTCTGCACGCATGCATGCATGCAACAAACGCATGCATGTATTAATGCTTGCAGGGTGTTTGGGAAGTGTGTATGTATGGTTATAGAGAAGGGTTTGGTGTAGGACGTTGTTTGCTTTTTTTTGTGTTTTGTTGGTTTCTATTATTAGGAGTTAATGTCCCCAAGCCCTGCCCCACCTTTGAACATACTTCTTTTCCGTCCTATCTACTCGACGCCATCTCCGCCGCAGGCTTCCAGAAGCCAACCCCTATTCAAGTGCGCTGCTCTTCTTATGCATGCATGCATGCATGCGGAACTGCACTAGGAGCCGTGCATGCATGCATGCATTGATGCTTGAATGCCCGTGTGTATACATGCATGAGCGCTTGCATCCACAGATGCATGTATGCATGCATAGCTGCTTGAATGCATGCATGCATGCATGCGTGCATGTGTGTATGGGTGCTTGCATGCATGCATGCATGCATGCATGTTTGTTTGTTTGTTTGTTTGTTTTCAGCTTCAAGGGTGGCCAATTGCATTATCTGGAAGAGATATGATTGGTATTGCAGAAACGGGTTCAGGGAAGACGTTGGCATTTTTACTTCCAGCAATTGTACATATCAATGCGCAGCCTTACTTGCGGTGAGGGTTTATAATTGTTTATTATTTTTATTCTTTTTTATGTTTTTATTTCTCTTCGTGATATTCACATCTACATTTTCTTCTTTGTCTTCTTGCTTTTTATCATTGCCCTTCTTACCAGCTGTCTTCTTCCCATTCTTTTTCTTCTTCCTTCCCCCTCAAGTGCATGCATTTGCATGCATGCACTTGTTACGGTTAGATGCGTTGTTGATTTGTTTTGGAGTGAGAGGGACAGACAGACAGAGACAGAGACAGAGACACAGAGAGACAGAGACAGAGAGTTTGCGGCTGAGAAGAAGTGCGGTTTAGTTGTTGAGGGTTTATGTCGAATGCATTGTTTTGTATTGCGAGTAATTTATTATTTCATAGCATTGTTTGGATTGTCTTTGTATGTATTTATTTTTGTTTTTATCTGTTATTGCTTTTCTGTGTTTTATTTGCCTTCATTTTGTTCTTCGTTTGCTGCATGCATGCATGCATGCATGCATGCATTGGATGCATGCACATTGCATGCATATTGTCTGTTTTTGTCTGTGTTTGTTTTATTTTTAGCTCTGGTGATGGCCCCATTGCGCTGATTTTGGCGCCTACGCGCGAATTGGTGGAGCAGATAAGGGCTCAGTGCCGTTTGTTTGCATCTCCTTCGAAGATTAATCATGCAGGTACTCGCAGATATTTTATTTTATTTTTCTTTCTCTTTTTCATGCATGCGCCTGCTTTTGTGTGTTTTGTTTATGTTTACCTGTTTATGCTTATAGGCGTGCCTGTATATATATATATATATATGCATATGTGTATGTATTACGTATTAAGTGCATGAATGTGCTTATCTATATGTATATATGATTTGTGTATATATATACACCCAAATAAATTCATACCGGCATACATATATGTAAATATGCATGCATAAGTTCATATACAAATGCATATGCATGCATATTTACATATATGCATATGTATATATATATATATATATGTTTGGGTGTATGTGTGTTTTGGGGTGTCTCTCCAGCTGCATACGGTGGCGTACCGAAGCGGCCTCAGATTCAAGAGTTGCAGCGGGGAGCAGAGATTTGCATAGCTTGCCCAGGTCGTCTGATAGATTTCTTGGAGAGTAATATAACAAACCTCCGTCGTGTAACATATTTAGTTTTAGATGAGGCAGATAGAATGTTAGACATGGGTTTTGAGCCTCAAATAAGAAAGATTGTCTCCCAGATACGTCCTGATAGACAAACCCTTATGTGGTCGGCGACTTGGCCTAAAGAAGTACAAAATCTAGCAAGAGATTTATGCAAAGAAGAACCCGTTCATATCAATGTTGGTAGTCTTGATCTTAAGGCATGTCATAATATTCGTCAAGAAGTCTTCGTTCTACAGGTATATTAATTACTATATTATTATGCTATTATTATTATTATATAGGGTTATATTGATGTGTTATTTATATAGTATTTATATTATTATATCGCATTATAGTAATTATAGACCCCATTCATATGTCTTGAGGCTTGCGGAAGTATTCATCAGGAAGTCTTCGTTCTACAGTTTTAATACTTCTACCTTTTTATTTTTACTGTTATGTTTACTCCTACTTTACTATTTTATTAGGTTTTATTATATTACTGTATAGCGGAATGTCTGTCATATACACAATCTAGATGTGTAGGTGTATATATATATATATATATATATGTACATATATCACGATCATATATATGTATATATCACCATTATATACGTACATTTATATATATATATAAACATTTATATATATTTATATCTTCAGATGTTTGTTTTGTGTATTGTTGTTCCTCTTTGCCGTATCTTTTTGTTGTTTATTTCGATGTGTTGGGGTGTACAGAGGCGTCTGCTGCTGCGTGTTATTTTATTTACATGTTATATTATTTTTATTAATTTGTTTGTAGCTGTTTAATCGGGTTTTGTCTCTCTTTTTTTGTTTGCATTATCTGGCTTTATATTATTCTTGCTTGGTTGTTCGATCTTCTGTTTCTGCCTCCTCTACCTCTCTCTCTTTTATTTATTATTGTTGCTGTTATTTGTTGTTTCTTTGTTTTGTTGTGACTCCTTCTTTTTCTTGCTTCTTCTGTTTGTTTTTCTCTGTTGAGTGTCTCTTCTTCTGTCTCCTTTGTCTGGGAGAGTCTTCTTTCTTTTTGTCTCCTTTGTTTCGGTCCAGTGTTACTGCTCGCGTCTTTCTCTCCCGCCGCTGTTGGGTTGTTGACGGAGGGGCTTTTGTGGGACCCAGAATCGTCTCCAGGGAGACGATCCCAGATCCCCACAGAAGGAGGCGAGATCGTCTCCTAGGGGGTCTGGGATCGTCGTCCCGGAGACGATCCCCGGTCCCTCGTGGGGAAGGGATCGTCTCCTAGAGATGATCCCAGGTCCCCCGTGAGGAAAGGATCGACTCCTAGAGACGATCCTAGGTCCCTCGCGGGGAAGGGATCGTCTCCTAGAGGCGATCCCAGTTCCCTCGCGAAGGCGGGATCGTCTCCTGGAGACGATTCCATGCCGATCCCCTCACGATCCCAACACCCAATATGTTGCCGGCGGTGAGTACGCCCATCGCTCACCTCCGCATGCATCTTTTGCTGCATGCATGCAGTATGCATGCATCTTCTGCATGCATCTAGCATGCATGCAGATGTACGCATGCAGAGGGTGGGCGGGCGGGGCGCATGCATGTTGA